GTACCATCCCAAAAGTTGGCTTTGCTGTCGATTCAACCTGATCAAGTTGCTTGATTCGTTCTGCGATATTGCAGCTCTCCATCGTATGCAGTAGGCCATCGAGAGACTGGATGTGTGGAACTGGTCTCGCAAGTCCTGTACACGTTGGTAAATTATTTCAAACACACGTATGTTATGTATATGCAAACCACTTGTGGATGGATTCAACTAACTTCTGGTTAGATGCTAAAATCTTAAAAAGTGCCTCATTATTATTCTTTGCATAATAAACAAAGCTGATGATCAATACCACTGAACTGCTTTTTTTTTTTTAAACCAATAATGGCAAATCAGCTTGAAGCAATCCTTCCGTTTATATAAAAACAAGAAGGAGTCTGATGGCACCTTAAAGACTAACCGATGTATTTGGGCATGAGCTTTCGTGGGTAACAAAATCTCACTTCATGCATCTGAAGAAGTGGGTTTTTTACCCACGAAAGCTTATGCCCAAATACATCGGTTAGTCTTTAAGGTGCCACCAGAATCCTTGTTGTTTTTGTGGATACAGACTAACACGGCTACCCTCTGATACTTGATTCTGTTTATATAGTAATCTGAAACATTAAAAAATTAATCCATGTATCGTTCTAAGCATTAACTGGTAATACAGTACTGTCAGTCAAGAGCCACAATTTAACTTTGAGAGCTGCATGTTTGATGTGCCCATGTTAGTATAATTAAAACATTTTTTTCAAATATCTATCTATGCAATTGTTTTAGGTTTGTCATGTTTGGTACCATTATGTTTGTAGGAGAAAGGGCATTTGAGTGATACCCAACTCAACCAACTTCTGACAACATTATCAACATTACCACCAACCAAAGAGGTCCTGAAGTTGGAAGCCAGGATGGAGCGGGGGCAATGAGTCCTCTGGCCACACTGTAGAGAGTGACAACATTGAAATTATGATTCTACAGCTTTTTATAAATTGACACCTCCCTTACCTTTCTACCATTAACCTTTCTACCATTACACATGCCTCCAGCCTATAAAGTGAAATTAGGATAGTTTCAGTAGTATTCTGCTGCTGAGGAAATGCTATGTGCAGGAATAGCAACGTTTATGGCTTCCCTGGGGGAGTTCCCATGGAAATATCAAAAATAGGGTGAGTACAGGGAAAATAGGGAATTTGTATGACCATGTGCACAATTTAACCCTCAGAAAATGTTAGACTCAGAAGTATGTGATGTTCCGGAGCTTCTCACCTATAAGATTACTGGTTCAAATTTGGCTTTGGTCTATAAGACAATTTTCCTTCAGTTTTTCCTTGGTAAAGTGGGGATAATATGTTATTTGGTGGCCTTTGTAAATTGAGTTGAATGGTGGCTTCCATTCTTTTCACCACACCGCCAGGCACCATTGTCTATTCTCACTAAACACAGATGTCATGAATAGATATGCAGACTGAACTACCCTCTCATGCAGAGACTGACAAATTTCAGGCCTTGTTAGATCTACTTGCTGAGAAATTTGAAAGGTGGGAGGTTCCCCAGTAATATTGAGGAGTGGTCCCTGGTGAGAAGCTAATTGTCTTTGCCACTAGCCACTGGAAAGGTCTGTGTTTTCTACTGGATTTTTGTCTGAACCCTGCTCAGTGACAGAGGATGTGGAAAAAGTTAATGTACTCAATGCGTTTTTTGCCTCTGTCTTCATGAACAAGGTCAGCTCCCAGACTACTGCACTGGGCAGCACAGTATGGGGAGGAGGTGACCAGTCCTCTGTGGAGAAAGAAGTGGTTCAGGACTATTTAGAAAAGCTGGATGAGCACAAATCCATGGGGCCGGATGCGCTGCATCCGAGGGTGCTAAAGGAGTTGGCGGATGCGATTGTAGAGCCATTGGCCATTATATTTGAAAACTCATGGCGATTGGCTGAGGTCCCGGATGACTGGAAAAAGGCTAATGTAGTACCCATCTTTTAAAAAAAGGAAGGAGGAGGATCCAGGGAACTACAGGCCAGTCAGTCTCACCTGAGTCCCTGGAAAAATCATGGAGCAGGTCCTCAAGGAATCAATTCTGAAGCACTTAGAGGAGAGGAAAGTGATCAGAACAGTCAGCATGGATTCACCAAGGGCAAGTCATGCCTGACTAACCTAATTGCCTTCTATGATGAGATAACTGGCTCTGTGGATGAGGGGAAAGCAGTGGACGTGTTATTCCTTGACTGTAGCAAAGCTTTTGATACGGTCTTCTACAATATTTTTGCTGGCAAGTTAAAGAAGTATGGGCTGGATAAATGGACTATAAGGTGGATAGAAAGCTGGCTAGATCGTCGGGCTAAATGGGTAGTGATCAATGGCTCCATGTCTAGTTGGCAGCCGGAGTGCCCCAAGGATCGGTCCTGGGGCCGGTTTTGTTCAATATCTTTATTAATGATCTGGAGGATGGCGTGGACTGCACCCTCAGCAAGTTTGCAGAGGATGCTAAACTGGGAGGAGTGGTAGATAGGATACAGAGGGACCTAGACAAATTAGAGGATTGGTCCAAAAGAAATCTGATGAGGTTCAACAAGGACAAGTGCAGAGTCCTGCACTTAGGACGGAAGAATCCGATGCACTGCTACAGACTAGGGACCAAATGGCTAGGCAGCAGTTCTGCAGAAAAGGACCTAGAGGTTACAGTGGACGAGAAGCTGGATATGAGTCAACCGTGTCTCCTTGTTGCCAAGAAGGCTAACAGCATTTTGGGCTGTATAAGTAGGGACATTGCCAGCAGCTCGAGAGACGTGATCATTCCCCTCTATTCTGTATTGGTGAGGCCTCATCTGGAGTACCGTGTTCAGTTTTGGGCTCCACACTACAAGAAGGATGTGGAAATATTGGAAAGAGTCCAGCAGAGGGCAACAAAAATGATTAGGTGGCTGGAGCACATGACTCATGAGGAGAGGCTGGGGGAACTGGGATTGTTTAGTCTGCAGAAGAGAAGAATGAGGGGTGGATTTGATAGCTGCTTTCAGCTACCTGAAAGGGGGTTCCAAAGAGGATGGATCTAGACTGTTCTCAGTGGTACCACATGACAGAACAAGGAGTAATGGTCTCAAGTTGCAGTGGAGGAGGTTTAGGTTGGATATTGGGGAAAAAACTTTTTCACTAGGAGGGTGGTGAAGCAGTGGAATGGGTTATTTACTTGACAAAGCCCTGGCTGGGATGATTTAGTTGGGGATTGGTCCTGCTTTGAGGAGGGGGTTGGACTAGATGACCTCCTGAGGTCCCTTCCAACCCTGATATTCTATGATTCTAGAGCTCTCTATCAGCCTCTGGCTAATAGGTATATTGTAAATGTCAGGCTTCAATGACCCCCTCCCAAACTGGTGGAGAGGAAAAGGGGCTTTCTCTCTCTTTGCTTCTCCAGCTTTCCCACAAAGTTTCTTGTCTCCGTTTCTCTATCAGAAGTGTGGGAGATGGTGGGAAGGGGGAAGAGGTCTCTGGTACTCTATCCTTGCCCTAGTCTCCATTTTATGGTCCTTCTCTGTAGTGAGTAATTCCAGTGCCTGCTTCTGCTGTTCATTCTGCTCCTTAGGAAAGCTATAAGTAATTGTTAAGAATTCTTGACAGTTTCATTACTGTCCACAATGTTCTGAATAGCATCTGTGAAACTGACCAGAATATTGTTAACTTCACTGCTCTTGGTGCTGTTTTCCTGAGTCTTTAGGAAGCCCACAAAATTCTATTAATATGCATCCATTTTAATGTTTCAACGGTTACCCCTAAATAAATGTAAGGGGTTGGTAAGTAGGTGAGTGGAATTTATCTTTCAAGCTGTCCTAGAGTTGTCTTTTTTCAGAACAGGGGTGGGCAAACTACGGCCCATGGGCTGGATCCAGCCTGTCAGGGCTTTGGATCTGGCCCGCGGGATATCCACCCCTGTGGCACCGCAGGCCCCGCGCCACTGCTGGAAGCGGCCGGCACCACGTCCCTGCAGCCCCTGGGGCAGAGGGGACAGTGGGTTCTGTGTGCTGCCCTCGCCTCCAGGCACCGCCCCCAGCAGCTCCCATTGGCCGGGAACAGGGAACAATGGCTAATGGGAGCTTCGGGGAAGATACCCGCAGGGGAGGACAGTGCGCAGAACCCTCTGCCCCTCTTCCCCCAGGGGCCGCAGGGATGTGGTGCCAGCCACTTCTGGGAGTGGCACAGGGCCAGGACAGGCAGGGAGCCTGTCTTAGCCCCGCTGCATGCCGCTGCCACTCCAGAGCTGCTCCAGGTAAGCGGTGCCAGGCCGGAGCCCATACCCCAGCCCCCTGCCCTGAGCCCCTTGCCGTGCTCTGCATCCCAGCCCAACCCCCTGCCACATGCCTTCTGCACCCTGCCCTGAGCCCCTTCCTGCACACCACACTTCATCCCTCTCCCCAGCCCTACATTCATGACCCTATATGCAATTTCCCCACCCAGATGTGGCCCTCAGGCCAAAAAGTTTGTCCACCACTGTTCCAGAGCATAACTGCAGTGTAATATAAAGAAACTTGAATTGCTGTTGTCCATACTGGAATTATTTTGCAGATAAAGGCTTCAGTTTCTACACTTGTTAGCCTTGAACCTTTCACCAGTACTAGCTGCACTGTGACACACACTGCTTATTTTTCTTCTGATTTATCTTGTAGGAATTTTGCCATTATAGTAGCAAATTCTGCGTACACAGATTTCTCCCCTAAAGTTCTAGAAACTATAACTAGCTTTTCTAAGGCCCTTGACTGCTAAAGGTTTAAAACTTTTTATTTTTACAACGTGTAAGGTAAAATCCGGAAATCTTTCACATACTCAGCTTTCACTTTGTAAAGCTTGTGAGAATCTGATGGATAGGGGACACATCCTGAAACTTGAATCTACTGAATACTTGTATATCATCATTAAAGTTTTCTTTATGACTGGAACATCAATCTTTATAGTAGGTCACTTAAACTCTGACTTATGAAATTACTACTAAAAAGTAATTTTGACACTTGTATCAATACTTTTTGTTTTCAGACCATCTTACTGTGAAAGCTGCTGTCGCAAAGCAATAAACATTTAATAAGGAGAGAATGGGTAAGTTAATCTTTTAATAAACAGCTTTTCACATTTTTAAAACATGAAACATCTTGGGCTTTTAGATAATGGAATTGAGTAGGAAAGGGCTGTGAATTTTGGAGGTTGCATTTTTAAGCTTTACATCATTAATTTTGCTTACTATCTCATCATAATTAACTCAATTTTACGTGCTTGGAGCTGCCCTATCTGTCTCCATTCAAATGACTGCATAATGAGAAAATAACCAGATTTAATGTGGGCTTGGGTGGATTCAGTTATTTTTATGGACACTGATAAACACCTTTCCAGCTGTATTTCTTTTTAGCAACTTGAGCTTTTGACTAATGGTAACTGGTGGAAAATCCTCATCTAATAATTATACAGTAATTTTATTTTGATTAACCCTGATAATCCTGAAAGTAAGCCACATTTTCCTAACTGACTGCAAGACATAATTTGTTAACAAGAATCTGTACAAGTGCAGTATATATTTGGTACACTTAATCTCTAATGTTTCCTTAACAATAGAAATTATTGATTTGTTTTTGGGTGGAGGAAGAAATGACATTTACTGATTAAATTCCAGTCTTCAAAAGTACGTCTCTATTCTTTTGCCACCTCTGGATTCTGCTGGAAGGAAGTAAATTTATAACCAAGCCTCCTTATAATCATACTTGTACTTTTTCTTATTGTACTGACCCCAGATATTGAGGGTTTCTAGCATCTTACTGGTTATGTAAAAATTAAAATAAGTAAGTAGATTAATACAACCCTGAAAATGAAATGTTATGTAGAATATACAGTTCTTTAACATCTCAATAAAGTTACTTTAATCCTATTTACTATAGTAACTTATGTAAATGTATATTATTTTTGTGGAAAAAACACATGCTACCTGAAAAGAGACCGTGACTACAATTTCTAATTTTAAATTGGATTAAAGTGGTATTTTGCCTTTTTTTCTTTTAAATCATCACTTCAGGTTTTGAAACTTGTTTGAATCTTTCAGCAGTCTTACCCCTGGATCTGCCAGAGACACAAGTTAAAATCTAATTAATGGGTTGGGTGCGGGAGGGGTAAGAGAGGGAGAGGAGTTTCAGCTATTATGCCTGCCAGTAAGCTCTCTGCCTAATTTTGTAGTTTTACATTGACATTTACTATTGTTTAAATAATTAATTTTCCTGCTGCTGTGTGAAAGGGTCACATAAATAGAGGAAACTGTTCAAAGTGCTGTCCAAAGTAGAGAAAACACTGGAAATAAAGAGAACATTTTGTTTACTCTTTGTTGCAGTATACTTACTACTGCAAGTAACGTAAGTTAACTTTCCTCAAACTGACTTTTTAAAGTTGCTGGAGTTCCTTTTTAAATGAATGCGTTAATACCAGGCAAAGACTTTTACTCTGTGAATTGCCCTCTTAAAAGCATGACAACAGACAATGCCTGTAGGAAGAGATGTTTCTTCTTCATTTGGCAAATTCTTAATTACTGTCTTCTAATGTATTACCATTAGAAATATGACCTTTCCCTGGTAATACGACTTCATGAGGAATGTTTAACAGCCACTTCAGAGCAAACAGCAAGTATAGTCTCAGACTTGAGTGGCAGGGTTTATTTTATTATATAAAGGGGAAAAAATAACCCTGAATGGACTTTATTTCTTTTTCTAGAAATGACTGAAATCATGTTTTGACTCAATGGTCAGGGACAAGGGAATGAGGGGACAGATCAGTAACAGTATATTAAAACTAAATTCGCTCCTAAGGCACAAAGCTTTAAGTTTTGCTGTCTGTTGAATTTTTCACTTTAAAAGAAACAACTTCCTTGTCTTATCCTCCACCTTCTCCTTTGCTACCTTGCATGTCTTTATTTCTTTGGTCTTTCAGAGGTAAGAGCACTGAGACTTCATGCTTGTAATAAAGGCATAAGCTGTACTAGCTTTCTTCATACTACAAAAGTACTAACCAGATATTCTGAAAGTATCAGTTAACCTGTTTTCTATTATAGATGGAGAAGAGAAAACATACGGTGGGTGTGAGGGCCCTGATGCTATGTATGTGAAGTTGATATCCTCTGATGGTCATGAGTTTATTGTAAAAAGAGAGCATGCGTTAACATCAGGAACAATAAAAGCTATGTTGAGTGGTCCAGGTAGGTGCAGTGAGTTTAGTAGCATCTTGTAATTCAGTTATTTCACTTTCCTATTTTGTGGAGTGTTTGGATTTGTATAATCTGTTATATAAAAGTTGAATTTCTATTATGAAAAGTGACTTGTCCCAGTCCAGATTGGTTTCTGTTCCTACTTAGACAATTCAGCTTTATCAAGTCTTGTATTATCAGTTATATATAATCAGGTGCTAACTGTATATGAAGTCTTTGGGTGCTACTGTAAGACAAGCAATTACAATTACTTCCACAGACAAAAACAGTAGTGATTTCCCCCCTCCCATTCCTTCAAATGGCATGTATGTGGGGGAGAGGATTAGTTAAGATTAGAAGGCTACGTTTTAAAATCTTTCAGTTACTGATTGCTACAATCCCCATCTTGAAATTCCATTCGATATCACTGGGGTGGGTACAGCCTGAAACTTGGAGCGTGCCCCAGATGTGCTGATTCTGCTCCATCCCTACTCAACCACTGGGCTCTGGAGAAGTCTGGGCTCTGCACTGTTGCCAACACTTATGATTCTTTTGCGAGTGATGGGCATGGCTGGAGCCTAATCTTGTGAGGATGCCCAAGCTCTAAACCTCTAACAGACTAATCTTTTGATTGGTCATCTGCTCCAGTTCCCCACCTCCTGGGGCTAAACAGTCAGTCGAACTGTTGCAGGCAGAACTCTCCCCCCTGCCTCCATCCCTCAGTAACTCAGTAAGCTATTCTCATGGGATTGGACATCGGAGCTAAAGAGCCCAGCAATTCAGGGCAGTTCTGCTCCCTCCTTCTCTCTCCTCTCGTATGAGTAATGGGGACAGGATAGCACCTCTGCTTTTCCCCCACCTCCCCTCTCCCTTCTTGCAGCACTCAGCCTGGGATGGGCTGTGGGGTGGTGAAGAGCTCTTGGAGCTGCCCCCCCCAATCCTGGAAGGTGGAGAGGGGACAGCACTGCCGCCCCTAGCCCTGGGAAAGAAGGGTAAAGAACCCCAGGAGAAGAGCAGAGGTGAGGCTGGAGAAATGTGCTGATGGTGGGGATGGGCAGAACTAATGAGGGAGCAGGGGACAGGATTGACTTGGGAGACTGGGAGCAGAACTAATTGCTGGGCAGGGGGTGGGCAAATGATGAGGTGAGAGCTCCTGTAGCAAGGGCAAAAAATCACCTTACCCAATAAACTTGGGACAGTGGGCAACATTAATTGTTGCACACTGGGGCTGGGCAGGAAAAGTTCAAAAATTAAAAAACAAAACCAAAACCCACAATCTCTTTTTGGCACAGAACAGAGGGTTTTTTTGTTTTTTAATCTCATGATTTTGGGGGCTTACTCGTGATTTCTTGATTTTTGTCGATATTGGTGTAGTTACACAGCCTTTATCTTAATTTGTTGTCATGAGCTATAGCAGGGGAGTTCAGGGCAGCCTTGCCTCCAGCTTCTCTTCCTTTCTTCAAGCTGGCCCTGCAGGAGGGTGCTGCCTGCTCATTCCTGGGTCTCCAGAACTCCTCTCTGGGCCCCTGCGGTGTGTCTCTCCACAGCCACCCCTGACAACTGCCTGAGCTCCACGACATCCAGCTGGTCCACTTCCAAACTATGCCCAGAAAACATCTGTATACACTTGTGCATCATGCCATTCACTTTCTTGCCCTTGTGTCCTGCCCCAACACCACATTGTGAGACCTGCTGCCACCTGAGAAGGGCAAGGAACTCTGAGCCAATCTGTACTCTACTCTGGTTCCACAACCCACTGGATATATTTGTTGGTGGCTCCTTTTTGGGAGTTACGAGTATGAACGTGTACTTAGTGTGATTCATGAACTCCCCTGATGCCTGTCCCTTTCGTGAGGAGAGGGAGACCCTGGTGCACATCTACATAGAGTGCTTCATCTTGCAGCCCCTCTTACTGAGGGTTCTGGCTGCAATTTTCCCCACACCTCCTGATCTATGCACACCAGTCACTCCAGGAGGAGGAAGCTGGATGTAGGGGGCACTCTGTGACTGTGGGGTCTATTTCCGGTCCCTCATTCAATCACATCTCTGGGCAGAGTTCCTCTGGGGAGTGTCCACTGACTCCATAGATCCCTTTGAGGAGCAGCAGATGCTGTCAGGGGTTCTATGTCCGGTGTTCCCTTCTGGTTCTCTGATTTTTTTCTTCAAACTTTGACCTCACTCCTGTAGCTTTTTTTTTTCTCCCCTTCCTCCCCCCCCCTTTGTTGTCCCATGCACTCACTTGTAGCCTGAGCTTAGTGGTTCCTCCCCTTAGCTGAGAGGGTGTTCCTTTAATTTTAGGTGGGCCTATACATGCCTGCCCCACATCTGCAAATAGTAGTACATGGCTGTGACTGTGGGCGGGGCTTGCCAATTAAAAATCAAAAACGGCTACAGCACCATGAAGGACAAAGAGTCCGGTAAGAGTCCAGGCACCTGAGCTGGGTGTTCTATAAAAATGGTATAATCAGGTTCCATGGTTGAGCACATTATGTATAAAAATCATCAAGGTAAAACTGTTTACATGTGAAAAGATTCTAGCTGCTAGATAGACAAATTATATCTGGAGATATAGCAAATGGTCTGTGAATATGAACCTATATTAAAACTAAACCAAACTGCATCCGAATCCTCTTAAATTTCAGGGACAAAAGGGCATTCAGACTTAAATTTGGGTATAGGAAGTCACCTCATGACTGATTCTGGGCCTCATCCAAAACTGCAAGGGGGTTTATATTGGCTAGTTACACCACTTTGGCTGTTCTCTAATTAGTGATTAGATTCACATTTTTGAATTCACCATTCTATCAAATCTTTAACAAAAACCCACCAAAATGCAACTACGAAGCCAAGGAGGTGCACTTAAAGTGGTTCCTGATGGAGAAATCCATGAGAGGAGCATCTGACTCAAAAGTTGTTCCTGGATCTCCTTCAGAACCTCATTCAGCGAGTACTCCATCCATAAAAGATGTCACTCCAGGTTCTCAGGGAACAAAGAGCGCTCATTCAGTCTTTGAGTTCTTTGACATTGAATTTCAGATTGCCTTATCCTCCCTGTCCATGGGAAGAGACTGTCTAGGAAGGAGTACGGTAGAAAGGGATCTAGGGGTTCTAGTGGACCACAAGCTAAATATGAGTCGTCAGTGTGATGCAGTTACAAAAAAAGCAAACATGATTCTGGGATGCATTAACAGGCGTGTTGTGAGCAAGACATGAGAAGTCATTCTTCCGCTCTACTCTGTGCTGGTTAGGCCTCAGCTGGAGTATTGTGTCCAGTTCTGGGCACCGCATTTCAAGAAAGATGTGGAGAAATTGGAGAGGGTCCAGAGAAGAGCAATAAGAATGATTAAAGGTCTTGAGAACATGACCTATGAAGGAAGGCTGAAAGAATTGGGTTTGTTTAGTTTGGAAAAGAGAAGACTGAGAGGGGACATGATAGCAGTTTTCAAGTATCTAAAAGGGTGTCATAAGGAGGAGGGAGAAAACTTGTTCATCTTAGCCTCTAAGGCTAGAACACGAAGCAGTGGGCTTAAACTGCAGCAAGGGAGGTTTAGGTTGGACATTAGGAAAAAGTTCTTAATTGTCAGGGTGGTTACACATGAATAAATTGCCTAGGGAGGTTGTGGAATCTCCATTTCTGGAGATATTTAAGAGTAGGTTAGATAAATGTCTATCAGGGATGGTCTAGACTCTAGACAGTATTTGGTCCTGCCATGAGGGCAGGGGACTGGACTCGATGACCTCTCGAGGTCCCTTCCAGTCCTAGAATCTGTGAATCTATAAGTCTGGTTCTTGGAGCAGCTCTTGGTACTGTATTCAACAGTACCATCTCTGACACTCACTTTGTTACCAACTATGGAAAGATCTGTGGCACCAACCTTTGCTCCCAGTACCATCAAGCTTACAGGGCTTTCTTCACTAATCCAGCAGAGCTCAGATTTATCCCAGAACTAGTGTCACCACTTTTAGATATCTCTTCACTATCCACAGTTTCAAAACCTGCCTGAGTACTGATTTTTATGAAGAATTTTTTTCATCCACTGGGTCACACAGAAAATCTGTGAGCCCGCCTCATTTTCAGTGACCCCCACAAGGGGAACAGTACCTTCTATTGAGGAATTCTATTCATCCCATCCTTTTTCTTCCAGTCAGGAAAGCATTTCAATGATGACTGAGGTCTGTTTATTAACCAAGCATTCTCTCTTCTTTGAGAACTTGTACATATGGATCCCATTCTTGGTGATCAGTAAGGAGTCCACTTCTTTAGGAGGAGGGAATCTAGGAGCTTATATGAATAAGGATTGTAGTACTGCCCAACCAAACTAAGCATCAGATCTGGAGGCTGAAACCACTGAATAGTAGTTGGTGAATGTATGAATGGAGTTCTCTGCAAATTTCAACTATGGTAGATCTAGGATATTCCTCCAGTGGTCACCAAACTTTACCTCATGCCCCCCCTTTCCTCTATCTGCATCCTCCCCCCGCCCCCAGAACTATGCCTGGGAGTGGGGCCGTGGCTCTGACTGGGGGGATGTGGACAGGGGTAAGGAGGCTGGGGGCCAAGGCTGGGGCCACCGCTGGGGTGGGGCTGGGGGCTGGCAACTGGGGCACCCAGCGTGGAGCTCCAGGCAGGGGGCTGGGGCCAGAAACAGCTACGTGGCGCTCCCTCCCTGTGCCCCCGAAATGTTCCTCAGTGCCCCCCTTGCAGGGCGTGCCCCACAGTTTGGGGACTTCTGCCTTATAGTAACTGGTTCTTTGAGATGTTCTGTACATGTGGCTCCTATGTGGACCCTCTTTGCAGCTCGAGTCTTACAGCCCAGAATCTTGACAAAGGAGAAGGGAATAGCATTGGAGATGCTCTGTCTTTTATGCCTTTGGGAGGAATGACATGGGAGCATACAAGGTGCATGTGCAACACCGACAGACACTAGTGTTTTAAAATATTCTGATCTCAAGTGCATGTGCACCTCTGAGTGGGGTCCACGTGTACAGAACATCTCTAAGACACAGTTACAGCAAGTTAAATAACTGCTCCTCCATCCACATAAAAAAACCTCTTCAGATGTAATAGAAGATTATGAAAAGTGAAAACATTTAATGGATCTTGGTTTCAATGATACTTGAATATTTATTTGATGTGGATGTTCCCTATTTAAGTTGCATGGCTTTACAAAGTATGTTAAAATCTGCTTTGCCTTCCTACTTCTTCCCATGAAATTTGGGCTGGAAATTAGTAATCAAATCTGCTGACAATTCTCAAGCTGGAAATAGAAGCTGTTTCACTCTCAAAAGCTGTATTGGCTCTGCAGGGATAATAGGAGCCCTATTGTGGTAGGTGCTGTGCAAACACCCAAAGGGTAGATACCGTTCATGCCTTAACGAGCATACAGCATAATTAAAGACAAGACACAACAAGCAAATGACAAACTGTACAAAGGAAGGAAGTGCAATGGTAACAGAAGTAGGGTCATGTGGTGCCCCTGTTGTACAACTGGATGTTTCCAAATCACCTGAAAGGTTTATTTAAACAAAATAAACAGCTCTCCCTAGTAGCCAGGCCACATGGTCATCATTGATTGACCACCTTTCTTGTAGGTGTTTACATTAGTGTGGGTTTTACAGGGCTGAATATGGTACTGTCAGAGAGCACTCCTCGCATAGACTGAGATCAGGATCAAACCTTTGTTCCACATATTGCTTGTAGGCAGTCATTAACCCAAACAAACAGAATATTTTTAAACAAAAGGTGATGGAAATTATGTCCCTGGCTCCAGTAACTGTGGCATGTCTTAACACACTATGCTGTACATCTTGTACACTGAAAATGTCTAATTCCTAACAAGGGACTACAGTAACATGAAGTAGTCTAGATGAGTTTGCACACATGCAATACAATTGTGTTCATTATCAAGGGAATTTTGATGCTGATTCTTTCTTCCTTTTTTTTAAACAGGTCAGTTTGCTGAAAATGAAACAAATGAGGTGAATTTTAGAGAGATTCCATCCCATGTTCTATCCAAAGTATGCATGTATTTCACCTACAAGGTTCGCTACACTAACAGCTCCACGGAGATTCCTGAATTCCCAATTGCACCTGAAATTGCACTGGAACTGCTGATGGCTGCAAACTTCTTAGATTGTTAAATAAAATAAATTATAATAAAAATGTAAAACTTTTTTCAGTATTTAATACCTGTAGTTCAGTTAGTAACTTTTTTCATATAGCATGCTGCGTGTGTGCGGTTGAGAACTGTAAAGTTCACTGCAGAGGCAATTATCTTCAAATCTGTTGCATAGCAATCATTCAAGTTTATATTTGTTTTGCTGCTTACACAAATAAGGCCCTTTTCCCAAACAGACAAATAAATAAATATGCCAATTAGTAGATGGTTATGCCTTAACCTTTAGGTGTGGCAGAACTTTATCTTTTAATGCAATGATCATTTTAAAATACTGGAGTTTAAGCCAATGCTACTTAAAAGCTAATATTAGCTAAATGTGTAGGTCTTTAGCATTTCTAACTTTCTCTTATTGTTGCAATTTCTAAACCTCTGAACTGTATCACCTTACAGGGTAATTGTCCCTTTAGCATAGTTATAACTTCAGTTATATCAGCACTTGCATTATAAATCCCCTTTTTCAAGGATTTGTAAACTGGCATAAACATTCACGTTGGACTGAAAACAGTATCAAGGATAATTTTTATGGTTGTTTTTTTTAATTAAAGTTTAGCTATGTTTTTAGAAATGAACAAGTATACCTGATTTATTTTTCAGTCATAACTTAACTCACCCCTTTGAACAATTTAAAATGTTCAGGTCACTTGTCTAATAAAAATGCAGCTCTTCTGATAGTGGAATTAGAATTAAAGAGCCATGTTATTAACTAATGCTAACTAGTGTATGTATACTCCCCTCTTCTGTTCTATATAAAATGTAAGTTTATTCATAATGTACTGTCACTTGACCTAATATACAAGATTTATAATAGCTATAATGGCTCCTTTCCACTGTTTGTGATCAGTTATGTAAACTCTGTATTTACTCTTAGATCAAAGCCTTTGAAACTTCCTAAATATGGCTACCAAAGAGGAAGTTCTTTTCCCTCTTTTTTTTTTTCCCTCTCCCCTGCCTCCCCATTGTTATTCCAAAGAAAAGCTGAATATTGGTGGCCCTTTTGTTCTTCATTGAAGTAAAGGGGTATTAAACAGATGTTTGAGAATATTTCATAGATTTCTTAAATACGTCCAATGTTTATATTAAGATTTTAAGGGGAAAGGATTGGCAAGCCAACGATATTAACTCATTTTTGAATGGAACATGTAATTGTCCTTTGTTCAATTCCTGCTGGTAATTGCCTGTTATACTCGTTCTTCTCTCATGTCACAAAACAAGATTCCATAAAACAAACATGGTGAACAATGTGACAATAAGTTGCTTTCTTTAAGAGGCAGGCTGGAGATTTTTACTACCAAAATAATTCTTAGAAGAGGATGATAAATCTAACTTCACCAGTAAGATGCAATAGCTATTGTATTCTTGTCATTATTTTGTGCTTTGGGTGTTGATATGAGACATTAAGCTGAAGCTAAAATGGCTTTGAGCAGCCAGGAAATGCAGTAGTGTTCGAGAATGCACTGCGCAGAATGTTCTTGCTGTTAAGAAAATTAACCTATAAATAAAAGGGGGGGAGGAGTGGGGAAGCTAGTGCAATTTACTTGATAGTGAGATCGGTATGATAATAGACAAATGGAAACCTGCAACACTTACTCCCTGAGTTCTAAATAAATTTCATAATGGAAAATTTTTAAAACTTAGTTTTTGTTGGTTTGTGACTGCTTATCTTTAAGCAGATTTTTATATGAGGAATCACATGTTCACATTTATGCTGTGAATAAATTGTAAAATTTATAAAATTGATATTTGGGTTACAGATGGGCAAACCAGTGTGGATAAAATAACCCACCCAAAACCTTTCAACAAAATCATTTATAGACTTTAGGATGTTCAGAACTTTCCTCTCCCATGTTTAAGTGCTGCTTGTTATAACAGAAGCAGCCAACTACTGCTAAACCTTGTAACATTTCTAATTTATCTGGAAGTGGAAAGTATTGAGAAAATTTAAGAGCCTATTCTTAAATTCAGCTCACTTTTTTCCCCCATATACTAACAAGAATTTAGACTGCTAGGTGCCAAAATGAACTTTTTAAGGTATGCTCATCTCTAACTTTGCCATAATTGAAAGCGTATGATAAATATTTATCCAAGTCTAGTCATCAGCTAGAAATAGCTGGGGACTAAATCTTCTTTGGTTGTGTATATTTCCAGTTTGATTGTAGGACACAATAGAATTCTATGTAAGTTATGATGGAATAATTTGTCTGTTCACAGTTGATCATCTTCCACATACAATGGCCTGCCACAAAAGGAGCTTTGCACTTGAACCATCAGAATTCCATTCAACCGGCTGAAATATATATAATTAAAAAAAAAAAAAATTAAATCTCCAGGTTCAAGGGACACATGCCACAAGGTTTAACTAGGCCACCATTTTGAGCTGCATGAATGTTTATGCAACTATAGCCTATTTCAAAGTTCAAAGTGTTTTTTATTGCCAAATGGTCTCGGACTATGTGAAATATGAGCACTTCAGTTTTTCAGCTGGTGTTTGTATAGTACACCTCTTCCTTCCTGGTCAATGGGTACTGTCTGCTCTTTTTCTTCATTGTTTGTAATATCCATTAAGCTTGGAAAAAATGGTTTCCTTCCCAGCACCTGAATAGGTCTTCTGCTTACATGGTAAATGTTCTCCACACCTTTCATCTAATGAAACAGAGGCAAACTTGCTTCTCATTTTCACTTTTATGTCCCAACATATGGATTTTGTGTATCTGGTGTCAACAGCTCTTAGAACAGTTCAACTGCTACTGCAGAGTCAGCAAAAGCACAATGTCCTTGTATGGGTTCTACAAAAATAGTGGTTTCTTCTTGTCGGAGGGTAGTGGGAGGGTGTAATTTAATCTTGACAATTGAATGGGAGAAATATGCTAATAACTTTTTATCTTAAGGTGAATCAGGTTTGGGTTTAAATTACTTGACTATGTTCTTTTAAGACAGAAGGACCAAAGCTTTGCAGTTAGCAAACAGTAAAATGTCATTTAGTTGTTGTGTGTCGTCCCCCCCCCCCCCCCCCAGGGAAAAAGTAGTTCAGCTTTGAAGAATGTTTTTGTGACAAACAACATATAAACTCGGTTAGAATTGGATTTATTTTTAAAAGCAGCTTCCATGGTGGCAATGTTATAAGAAAATAGTAATGGTGTGAACTCGATACGTTGCACATGGTTTAAAGGTATACATCCAAGAAGATTAAAAAGTAGTAGCTTTTCTGACAATTCACTCTTGAGAGAAGCTTGTGTGAGTAACCTAACTAGAGCAGCCACAAGGAAAATACAATAAACGCCTTTTAAACCATACAAATTTAACCAGTCTAATTGTGTGCCATGAACCTAAAGTTTTTGAGACCTTCGCATCCAGAAATGTAAATTGGGAAGTTTGACACAGTTGCATTAGTTCAACATCATATTATGTTTTTGGTAATTACACTAAATGATAGTGTTTACCAAGTTGAAACGAATGATTTGGATATTCTGTTAAGTAACTAATAAAAACCTGAATTAAGCATCTACAGTTCCATATTGGCTCCAAAAATCAATTCCCAGAATAGTATTGAATTAGAATAACTACCTCTGTAGTGAGATTTTGATTTATTGCCAGTTAAGCATTAATTTACCAGTTGGGCCTTTTCCTTCTCCACTAGAAATATCACCAACTTCTCATATTCATTTAACAGTTGAACACTGTAACTATCTTCTCTTGAAAATCACCATGATGTGTAACCATAGGTAATATGTAACTCTAATCTTAGTTTGCCATAAATTCTTCTGTCACTCTAACCAAATGTTAAAACATGAGTGAATTCTTTAGCTTAAAAACTCCTTAAGTTCACTATCTCTTGTCTGAGCTCTGAAAAGCTCTGTTTGGTGTGATATCACCAAACATGTTTTATCTGAAAAATGCCTAAGATCTATCTGCTTTTAGCATGCATTCTTTCTTTCAGCTATCTTCTCAATGCATGTAAACACTATTTCCGTAGAAGCAGTGTTTTGCTGAACTAACAGATTTTCCAGTCCATTGCACTCCATTATTTGCGTCAGAATTATTTCTGGAGAGCTATGTGAAACTTGTAGATTACAGGTGAATATCTCACTAACATCTAAGTCACTTTCAAGTTTTTCATAATTAAGTACGTACCCTCTGAGAAGTATTTAATTTAGAATAAAATTATGATTTAGGTAAAAGAATGTATGTATCTAAAAGTTACTTATCAAGTGAAGCTGGTGTGTAGATAAGATGCACTGTAGATCTATTGAGAATCACCAGATGTAAAAACCTCAGTTCACAGCAGTATTATTACTGTAGTCATGTTCTAGTATTTCTGTGGTCCTTCCTAAGGAAATCAACAGAAAGTTAGCAAGATGTTTATCTGTGATCAATCTTAGCTCTTACTAGTAATTCAGCAGCAGACTGTGGCCTAGTCTGCAGTAGAAAAATTGCATCAGTTTAACTAGAGCTATTTTAAATAGATGAAGCTAAACTGGTTCTGGCCCCTAATGTACATGCACTTACACCAGTTTAACCTTTGCTTAAATCAGTTTAGATTAATTAACCTAAACTGATTTAAGCAAAGGTTAAATTGGTGTAAGTACATGTACATTAAGTGTTTGCACCAGTTGAATTAAAAAATAGAAATTTCAAACGTGCAGCTCTTCTACTATTTTAAAAAAAAAAGTTTTGTCTTGTTTCTTGTCCAGATGATGGTTTGGCTTGTGAGAAGCTATTTGTTGAAAGCATGAGGGTTGATTTATTCATGTGGGCTATCTGACTGCTTCACTTTTTGAGAAGCTGATGTGTTTTAATCCAGAACCCAAATCTTACTTCATATAAATTGAAGTCCATTTAAAATACTAGTTTGCTATATGCATTTCCTTTTATAGTCAATGAGAGAAGGCGGCATCTGTTCTCTAGTTTCATGTTTGTAACTGCACATTTATTGTGAGATTGCTCTCAAAACCTAAACTCTATTTATCTCTACATGCAAATGTCATGGGGCATCCTGCTTCTGCTTTTGGAATTTCAGCATTTTATGCTGCCAATAAACACTTGCTCAGAACATCCCTTTCTAGGGTCTCTTGTTTTGCCATACGCTGTTCTGTTGTCTCTGCCAATATTTAAATTGGGGTACTTCTGTTTAGGGTGGTGTAACCTTGTTGGCTAATACTGCACAATTCTGTGTTCCTTCTGATAATATGTAGCATCTCCTCTTTGCAAAGTCCTTTTTGATCTTTTCTGGTATTTATGTGAGGTCTCTACCATCTTTTGAAGTTTCATAAACTTTTAGTCCATTATACTGCTGTATAATGAACTTGTCATCTTTTCTCCTTCAGTCTTACCTTAATTATGTACTAGCTTTATAAGATGTTTTATATATCTTTAATCTCTCTGTTCCTCATTTTCTATAAGTTACAAGGTTGGAATCACTTACAATTAAGCAGTTAGCAAGCCATTTAACTACACTTTGGATTTATGTTGAAGGCTTTTAGTTCATAAGCTTTCTAAATAAAAGTAAAAAATGTATTTAAGTATTGGCTGTACTTTCTATAGAGCATCATAAAGCTATTTATTAACAATGAGTAACTTCTGAGCCCTTGTGTTCAACGTATGCCATAATTAACATAGTTGACTCTGCTGGTTCTGAAAAAGGTTTTCTTCAACTGACTGTGTCAAATATGAAAACTGATTTTGGAAGAACTACATACACTACAGAATTGCTTTTTAAACATAGTGATCTGTTCCCCCTCCCCTCCCCCCATAAGTCACTAGGGAGAAGATTTTCAAAGGCAAAAAGGAGTTAGGTACCCAACTCACATTCATTTTCAGTGGGATGTATCTATCATAGAAGTGTAGGACTGGAAGGGACATCTATGTCATCTAGTCTAGTCCCCTGCACTCAAGGCAGGACCAAGTAATAACTAGACTGTCCCTAGCAGGTGTTTGTCTAACCTGTTCTTTAATTATCTCCAATGATGGAGATTTCACAATCTCCCTAGGCAATTTGTTCGAGTGTTTAACCACCCTGACAGTTAGGAAGTTTTTCCTAATGTCCAACCTCAACCACCCTGTGGCAGGGTGCTGCAGAGGAATCCCTAATCAGCTCCTGCTACTCCAGCCCCAATCAGGGGCAATGGGGTGGGGCTGAGCAACTAGCTAGGACTGGCCTGGAAACTGGCCACATCTACCAGCCTCCTTAACAAGGGCTAAAAGCTTGGGAGGGAGTACAAGGGGGGCAGAGACCAGGAAGGGGGAATAGGCTCAGAAGGAGCCAGGCACGCCTACTACCCTGTTGCTAGTGGTGCCTGTGCTAGGCCAAACCTGTAAATAAGCTGTAAATAGTTGGAGCTTGGTGGTGGGGACCGGACACGGGAATAAAGAGCATGGGTATTGCACAGGCTTGGAATGGTTCTGACTCACTGGGGAGCAGGGCCAGGAGGCTGAACGCAGCGGGGTGCAGTGAGCACCCCGTTACACTCCCTTGCAGCAATTTAAGACTGTTGCTTCTTGTCCTATCCTCAGACGTTAGAGAACAATTTTTTTCTCCCTCCTCCTTGTAACAAACTTTTATGTACTTGTCCCCGCTCAGTCTTCTCCAGGCTGAACAAACCCAATTTTTTCAAACTTTCCTCATAGGTCATGTTT